AAATTAAAACAAAAAATGCACACTCAAATGTGTCCCAAACTTAAAGACAACATGACCCACCAGTACACATAACTGTACTGCTAGGCTAGCTCAGTATTGTGCTACACTCGGAACAAAGCTTTCCCTCCCATCTCTGATTAATCGGTGACCACACAGTATGCTATTCAGGAAAAGTCACCCAGATAAATGGCCATGTCTCACAAAAAGAGAAAAACTATCAAGTCACTGAAATGCTTCAAGTTGGCAACTGTCACACACAACCCTGACTGCGTGTCAGATTTCATGGGAAAAAGCACACCATTCACATTTCTGAACTCAAAACTGAAGATGATCTATTTTGAACTTTCAAAACTACTGCTTTTAAACTTGTGATATATTTTGTAGTTCTATGAAAGAATCCATTAGGAAAATGGGTTCTGATGTTGAAAAGGTTTGAAAACCACTGACCTAAGGCTTACTAAAGGTCATAAATATCAGGTACTACTTGAAACCATTTATGTACTCTGAATTCCCAGAAGTTACCACGAAGGCTACTGAAAAACAAAGAAATTCCCAAAGAATCCTAACCAATATAACCATGACTTACTTGAAAAACTCAGGTGCCCTAGACAGTCCGGGCAACTGCCTAGACAAGCAGGGTATTTATGACAGCCTCTGGAGTCAGCCAGCCAGCAGCCACCTCACCAGAACTGTCATTAAGAGCAAGAAAAGGGCCAGAGGCAAGCAGGTGCTGGCCAATGATGCTCTCCGCCAGCAGGCAGGGAGGCCTACCCCACAGGCATATCCCAGAGATGGAGATGACAGATACAAATGTCAGGAAAATAAAGAACAAGAAACAGACAACTTATGAAACTGGCCTCCATTTCATAAGGCCATATAGAAATTTTACATCAGAGAGAAAGTAAGGGACCATAGGAAGATTCAACTGCCACTCCAGAGATTCAGATCCCTGATGTTCAACTCCTCACTGTGTGACCACAGGCAAGGCCCTTCTCATTTGTGGGTCCCAGCTGCCCCAAGCAGAGCATGAGACTTTTAGACTCAGTGATGTTTCAAGTCCTCTCTCATTCTATTAATAGGCTATTTACACCAGCCTGAGATTCAGAGGAAGCTGAACTAAAAAGTAAGCTCAATGTGCTGCTGGTAATACTGCCTATCTGGCTGGGGCTTCTAACATGACTCTATGTTTGCTGTACTCAAACTGCAGTCCCTCAAAATTCCCTCCAAACACCAGTTTGTGTTTCTCTATGCCTGTCTCCTGGAAGCTCTACCTACCTGAATCATGAAGTCATTTTCCTCCTGAACCTCACAGATGCAGCGGACCACTTCAAAATCATAGCGGTCGTCCCCATCGAGTTCCTCATCTGGGTTGGTGGTCACATCAATATCTTGACCATATTCCTCATCGCTCCAAAGAAAGCTCTCAGAAGAGGACTCACTCAGATTATCCTCCTCTGAGAGGAAAGGAAAAACAACAGTCACTATTTTAAATTATAGTTATAAAATTTTCAAAAACTTAGAATGTCAAGAGTGGAAGTGACTGTACAGCCCCACTCCTCTATGAACTTTCACAGAGCTGGGAAACAGGAACTCCAATCTGTCCCTTGGGCCTGTCATCTAGCAACAGCCCAAATGACGTATGCTGCCTGCTGATGAACAGAACTCCATTCCTCATTTTACTGAGAGTGAAGCCCAAAGTAAGTGGCAGCTCAAGGTCACAGAGCTCACTGGCAGAGTGGCTGCAACTCCCCATGAACTACACAGATCATCATCCTAATGACTCAAACATGTTCCTCAACCTCATCCCTTCCAGCCAGGATCTGGCTTACTGTCAAGTCTACACCCAGAGCCACCTTTAAAACTCTGTCGAGAGTAGGAAATGAAGAAGGGACAGATTCCAGGGATAATCAGAACTAGAATCACTAGATGTTGGCGCCTGATTAGTTATAATTACGCTAACCTTTACTGATCACGTACTTTGTACCACTGTTGTAAGCACTTTTCATATACTTATTAACTCCTTCCAAACTCACAATCACCCTCTAAATTGCTGGAAAAGAAGCACCTTCAAGGTTGATTCAGATTTCCCCAAGCAACCAGATTAGATGCAGAGTCCATCAATAAGAAATGGAGCAATGAGAAGGGCAGGTATGCAAGAGGATGGGGTATAATGGATTTTGGGGGTTACAGATATACTGGCCTGGAGGTACCTAAGAGGCATTCAGCTAAAACCAAAGTTGGAGAGAAGGAAAGTTCAGGAAAGGCACAGCTAATAGCCTTTGTTTTATTTGATGTACTTCTTTATTTTGAAAATATAACAGAGTGTACTTGCAGAGGGCCTGGGGAGTAAGTTACAGTGTCAACATAAATCCAGCCTTCTCCGACTATAATGCTATACAAATGATCAAGTCAGCCGACAGTCTCCTTACCGGATACTTTTACTTTCCCTTTATGGTTTCCAGATTCCGAGCCATGGAGCTGTGGACTCATATGGACCCCAGGCTTATGTGAGGACCCACACCTGGTGACAGCAAATGCTTTGGGTGGAGATGGTTCCTGAGAGGTATCACTGATCTCCTCACTGCAAGGGCATTCTGGAAGATAGGATCAAAAAGGAATCAGCACCCCCATGTATCATCAGGGCATTCCAGAATCAACCCCACCCAACCAACAGCCCCACTGTTCAAACAACTCCATGGCAGAGGAGCAATTCAACTACAAAGGGGTGTGGAGGACAGATTTAGGGATTAAAACTTCTAGCTACCTCCAAGAACCTCAAAACCAAAAGCTTTCTCCTCAATATCACCCTTCTCCCTTTTTCTAATAAGATTGTTTTTCTAAACCAAAAGATAATAAAACATGGCATCCCTTTGTCTCCCAAGGTTGGAACGCTTATTTTCTTAACATCCTTGTAGGAGCTAGACACACACTCTTCAAGAAGTAAATCCTTTATTGGGGTGCCTGGGTGGCTCAGTTGGTTAAGCGACTGCCTTCGGCTCAGGTCATGATCCTGGAGTCCTGGGATCGAGTCCCACATCGGGCTTCCTGCTCAGCAGGGAGTCTGCTTCTCCCTCTGACCCTCTTCCCTCTCGTGCTTTCTATCTCTCATTCTCTCTCTCTCTCAAATAAATAAATAAAATCTTTAAAAAAAAAAGAAGTAAATCCTTTATTGAAAGGGTTCAGAGATACGTGTTTAAGAGTTGTGTGTAGGGGCACCTGGGTGGTGCAGTCAGTTAAGCATTTGACTCTTGGTTTCAGCTCAGGTTGTGATCTTAGGGTCATGAGATTGAGCCTCACGTTGGGCTCTGCACTCAGCGCGGAGTCTGCTTAAGAATCTCTGTCCCTAGGGCGCCTGGGTGGCTCAGTTGGTTAAGCGACTGCCTTCGGCTCAGGTCATGATCCCGGAGTCCTGGGATCGAGTCCCACATCGGGCTCCCTGCTCGGCAGGGAGTCTGCTCCTCCCTCTGACCCTCTTCCCTCTTGTGCTCTCTATCTCTCATTCTCTCTCTCTCAAATAAATAAATAAAATCTTTAAAAAAAAAAAAAAAGAATCTCTGTCCCTGGGGGCGCCTGGGCAGCTCAGTCGTTAAGCGTCTGCCTTTGGCTCAGGTCATGATCCCAGGGTCCTGGGATCGAGCCCCACATCGGGCTCCCTGCTCAGCAGGAAGCCTGCTTCTCCCTCTCCCACTCCCCCTGCTTGTGTTCCTGCTCTCGCTGTCTCTCTGTCAAATAAATAAATAAAATCTTTAAAAAAAAAAAAAAAGAATTTCTGTCCCTGGGGCGCCTGGGTGGCTCAGTCATTAAGCATCTGCCTTTGGCTCAGGTCATGGTCCCAGGGACCTGGAATCGAGCCCCGCATCGGGATCCCTGCTCTGCGGGAAGCCTGCTTCTCCCCCTTCCACTGCCCCTGCTTGTGTTCCCTCTCTCGCTGTGTCTGTCAAATAAATAAATAAAATCTTAAAAAAAAAAAAAAAAAAAAAGAATTTCTGTCCCTGGGCACCTAGGTGGCTCAGTCATTAAGCATCTGCCTTCAGCTCAGGTCATGATCCCGGAGTCCTGGGATCAAGTCCCACATTGGGCTCCCTGCTCAGTAGGGAGTCTGCTTCTCCCTCCAACCCTCAGCCCACTTATGCTCTCTCTCTCAAATAAATAAATAAAATCTTTTAAAAAAAGAATCTCTGTCCCTCTCCCTCTGCCCCTCCCGCCCCAGCTCTTACTCTTTCAAATAAATAAATAAATCTTAAAAAAAAAAAAGAGTTGAGTGTACAAGGGGTGCCTGCCTGGCTCAGTTAGTGGAGCATGCGACTACTGATTTGGGGTCGTAAGAGTCCCACATTGGGTGTAGAGATTACTTAAAAATAAAATCTTAAGGGGCGCCTGGGTGGCTCAGTCGTTGTCTGCCTTCGACTCAGACCATGATCCCAGGGTCCTGGGATCGAGCCCTGCATCAGGCTCCCTGCTCAGCGGGAAACCTGCTTCTCCCTCTCCTACTCCCGCTGCTTCTGTTCCCTCTCTCGCTGTGTCTCTCTCTGTCAAATAAATAAAATCTTAAAAAAATGAGTTGTGTGTGCAAATACGATCATTCATCTGCATATCCTCTCTTATTATAATACTTTCACATTCACTACCCTATGACAGGGCACACTGGCCAGTGCAGAAAGAAAGAAGGTCTTCCTAAATGCCAATGTGGCCTTGTAACACCCAGGATGAACAGACTCCTCCCCTGCCAAGGTCCATGCCAGGCTGAGCCCACAAGCTCCCTTAAAGGCCTGCTGGCCCCCCCCTCTCCTCAGTGCAAGTTCAGAGGCCAGGAGACAAAGCAACCCCTCCCCAACCCATGGTAGGAAACCCAAGTGAAACACCCCAGGGGAAAATTACCAGGTTTGGTTTTCTTTTTCTTTTTCTTTTTTTTCTTTGGCTTCACTCTCACAAACTCTTTGAATTTCTTCTCTTTATTCTTTTCCTTGTCTTTTGCAGCTGGAATTAAAAATAAGTGTAAGTCTTGACTTTCTAACATCTTGTTTCCATCGCTAAGATGTTCATTCTCAAGTAAGTATGTCCAATGTGAAGAACTAAAACGGGCAAAGGAACAGAGTTCTGGATCTGGTTCTGCCTACGAGGTTACCTTCTATCCCCCTCAAGGCTCTGGAACCCCTTCTCCATCATCTAGCCTTTAGATCAACAGTGGGCAAACTCTGGCCCACTGCCTGTTATTTTGTTTTATTGAAACACACCATGCTCATTCGTTACATATTGATGATGGCTGCTTTCATGCTTCAACAGCAGAGTTGAGGAGTGAAGATGGAGACTCTATGGCCCTCAAAGCTGAAAGTATTTGTCTGGCCCTCTACAGATTAAGTTTGCCAACCCTACTTAGATCACAACTCCTCACTGGCTACATACTACAATCACCAGGTAAGATTTTTAAAAAGTGAGTGCCCAGGGGAGCCTGGGTGGCTCAGTCGTTAAGCGTCTGCCTTCAGCTCAGGTCATGATCCCAGGGTTCTGGGATCAAGCCCCGCATCGGGGTCCCTGCTTGGCGGGAAGCCTGCTTCTCCCTCTCCCACTCGCCCTGCTTGTGTTCCCTCTCTGTGTCTCTCTCTGTCAAATAAATAAAATCGTTAAAAAAAAAAAAAAAGTGAGGGCGCCTGGGTGGCTCAGTTGGTTAAGCGACTGCCTTCGGCTCAGGTCATGATCCTGGAGTCCCGGGATCGAGTCCCGCATCGGGCTCCCCGCTCAGTGGGGAGTCTGCTTCTCCCTCTGACCCTCTTCCCTCTCGTGCTCTCTATCTCTCATTCTCTCTCTCTCTCAAATAAATAAATAAATAAAATTAAAAAAAAAAAAAAGTGAGTGCCCAGGTCCCACCCACAGAGATGCTGATTTATGTGGCTTACGGTGTGACCTGCATGTTAAGATGTTCTTTTTTTTAATAATTGAAGCACAATTCACATAACATAAAATTACCCATTTAAAAATGAACAATACGCACCTTCCAAATACCACAACTTCATTCTCTGCTACTCCTCACAGCAAACTCAAGTCATCAACACTCCCTGTCCAAACTTCTCACTTCAGTTTTCCCTAATTCCATTCTAAAAATCTTCCCACCTACCACTCTGAGACTGTTTTCAGTTTTCAAAGTTAACAACAGCCTTACCATTGCAAAAATCCAGTTGTTTTGCTTATCAAATGTGTCCATAGTATTTCATATAATTGATCAAGCCTTACTCTATAGATGTCAAGAAGGGTTTAAGCACACATAATCTAGAGGACCTAACCACTCTACTCCTAGATATTTACTCAAGAAGGGGTACCGTGTCCACACAGAGACATGTAGATGAACGCCCACTGAAGCTGTAACTGTAATCACACAAAGTAAAAAATGCCCAAATGTCCATCAGCAAGTGAATGAATCATTTGTGGTGTGTTCACACAATGGAATACTTTTCAGCAATAAAAGCATGAAGTATTAGTATGCGCAGCAACCTAAGTGAATCTCAAGAGAAGTATGCTAAATGAAAGGAGCCAGATAAAATCTAGTATCTGTATGACTCCATTTGTATAAAATTCTAGATGAAAAGTAGTCTATTTTAGTGCCAAAGGGGCGCCAGGGCGGCTCAGTTGGTTGGGCAACTGGCTTCGGCTCAGGTCATGATCCCAGTGTCCTGGGATCGAGCCCCACATTGGGCTCCTTGCTCAGCGGGGAACCTGCTTCTCCCTCTCCCTCTGCCTGCTATTCCACCTGCTTGTGCTCTGTCAAATAAATAAATAAAATCTTAAAAAAACAAATAAAAATAAAAATTACAAAACAGTGCCTGATGAGAGGAAGGGAGGAGTAGAAAGGAGGAATTAAAAAGAGGCATAGGGAAAGTCTGGGAGGCAAAAGATGGGTTTACTATCTTGACTGGGTTGCTCTTCAAATTGCACACTTTAAATACAGGCAGTTCAGGCGCCTGGGTGGCTCAGTTGGTTAAGCGACTGCCTTCGGCTCAGGTCATGATCCTGGAGTCCCAGGATCGAGTCCCGCATCGGGCTCCCTGCTCAGCAGGGAGTCTGCTTCTCCCTCTGACCCTCTTCCCTCTCATACTCTCTATCTCTCATTCTCTCTCTCTCTCTCTCTCTCTCTCAAATAAATAAATAAATAAATAAATAAATAAATAAATAAATACGGGCAGTTCACTGCACAATTAAGCTTTAACAAAGCTGTAAAAAAAAAAAAAATCCAGTGGTATGTAGTACATTCACCATGTTGTGCAACCAGCTCTACCTAGCTGCAAAACATTCCCATCGCTCGTAAGGAAAATTCTTTACCACTAAGCAGTTTCTCCCCAGCCCCTCAACCCCTGGTGAGCACCATTCCGCATCTGTGGCTACAGATGTATGTACTCCGGACATTTCATATAAATGCAATCACATAATATGTGACCTCCTATGTCTGGCTTCTTTCACTTAGCATGGTTTCCAAGGGCATCAGAAACACTCTCCAAGTGATTCTGATGTGGAATCAAGATGATCACAAAGCAGTTATGGGGTAAGGTAAACAATCAGATTCAAATGATTTTAACTAAGCACTTGTGTGCAAAGAAACCACAAACATCTCATTTAATCTTAACAACAACCTGTGTATATCATTTTCATTTTACAGATGGGGAAAGTAAAGCTCGGTGAGATGAAGGCCCCCGCCTGACATCAAGCAGATATCTGAAAACAGGTTCATCTGGCTCTTCATCACCATGTCAACACTGCAGCCCAGGCCCCTCTCCCAAATGGGCATCCAGGAACCATCAGAGAGGATAGTGCGCTGCCCTCCTAGCTGGCAAGTCTGGGCTCTACAGACAGAAGTTAACCAACTGGCTAAAGAACACAGGATTTAAGGGTCTCTAAGTTCCCTCCCAGTTATAGTACTCCACAACTGAGAAACAAAGTTCAACGAACAAGAACTCTAGAAAATACCTTAGTCTAATTTACAAAAATACTCAATTTAAGATCAAGAAACCAACGTCCAAAGAAGTTGACCTGGCCAAGGTCATACAGTTGATTAGCAAAACACTGTCAAATGCCTCCTGAATTTTACAAAAGCTATCAACAATACTTACTTTCCTCTGATCCTGAGAACAGTTTTCCTCAGATATAAAAAAACACAACTCATGGGGCGCCTGGGTGGCTCAGTCGATTAAGCATCCGACTCTTGATTTTGTGGTCATGGAATCAAGCCCCAAGTTGGGCTCCACTCTCAGCACCTACTCAGCTTGAGGATTTTCTCTCCCTCCCACTCTGCCCCGCCCCCTGCTCTCGTGCTGGCTCCTTAACACACATTAGAAAGGAAGAAATAAAACTATCTTTGTTTGCAGAGACAGGACTGTCTATTTAGAAAATCCCAAAGAATTGGCCAAAAACAAACAAAAAACCTGCTGGAACTAAGAGTGATTATAGCAAGGTTGCAAAGAAACGAGGTTAATATACAAAAGTCCACTAGTTTCCTATATATTAGCAATGAACAATTGGAATTTGAAATCAATAAATAGCAAGGAGGCCTGCATGTCTCCACTGGAACTGAAATTAGAATTTGGTTGAGGGAGAGATGATATGGCTAGAAGCAGATCATGTAGGGCCCTGTAAGGAAGTTGGTCTTTACTACAAGTGACTTAGGAGGCCACTGGGAGCATCTGAGTAAAGGAGTAATAGAAGTTGATATATTGTCCCGCATCAGGCTCCTTTGCTCAGCAGGGAGCCCCGCTTCTCCCTCTGCTTGCCACTTCCTCTACTTGTGCTCTCTCTCGCTCACTCGCTCTTGCTGACAAACAAATAAATAAAATCTTTTTTTAAATCTCTCTCTAAAAAAAGTAGTTGATATATCGTCACACACAAACATATAGAAACTGCTGCCCAATCCAGTTTTTTATTTGTAAACTCAGGTTTTAATGACCTCCAAATTAAAGTAACTATATCCATGAGTTTACCGAAAGGCTAACGGCATTAACCCAATCAGTAGAAGTGGCTGAAGAAGAGAGATCACCTTGGTCCTGGATTCTTGAGAGGGTCAAGATGTAGGGTATAAACTGCCAAGTACCAGGACATACCCAGTTATCATCCAAGTATGGGAGGTTTTTTTGGTCTGTTTTCATTTTACATTTTATTTTATTTTTTAAGATTTTATTTATTTATTTGACAGAGAGAGACACAGCAAGAGAGGGAACACAAGCAGGGGGAGTGGGAGAGGGAGAAGCAGACTTCCCGTGGAGCAGGGAGCCCGATGCGGGGCTCGATCCCAGAACCCTGGGATCATGACCTGAACCAAAGGCAGACACTTAACGAATGAGCCACCCAGGCACCCCTCATTTTACATTTTATAAAACAGCATTACATCCTTTAGGGAACCCAAAAGGCAGTAAAAGAAGAATGGGGCCGTTCCATACAAGGGATTCCTGAAGTCCCCACATTATTCAAAGTCACATAATTCATGACGAACATTTCCATAAAATGAAGACATAATGAACACTTTCATTGGCCTACCAACTCTGAAATCACATGGCTAATGAATTTTCTCAGTTTCTTAGGATTTGCATTAATTCAAATTTTGCACGTAAGACTTTCTATATCATACAACTTCAAACTGATAATTTTGCATAAAATGCAGCTATACCTTAGTATTATTACCACTCAACAGAGGAGGAAGTGAAATCCAGAGAAGCTGCAAGATCATGTAGATTGCTAAACGGAAAAGGAGAACTCAGACCTCTGAGGATTTGGGCCCTGTGCATGGTCCCTGAAATAGGAAACAGGGCATGGATCTGCTTTGTAGTTCAACACCACCACCACCTGGTTTCCTGGCTCTGCAGGTTTCTTTTCTCATCTTGCACCTGCTGGGTGTAGGAGATATCTATCTCCCAGAATCTCTTCTACCCCTCCTTCACTGAGCAGCGTGTAAGGGCTTTGAACAGGATTGACTCCACACTCAGTTAAATCAGTAAGAGTAATCCCATAGCCCTGGTCACAATCTTAGGCTTAGA